AAATGTAAACAATTTGTCATAATCTGTGTTAACAAGGTAACATAATCTTTGTTAACAAGATAATGTGATGTTTGTTAGCAAAGAACATGGTATTTGTTAGCGAAATGACATTTTTTTATTAGCAAAGTAACTAAAAACTTATTAGCAAAGGAATATAATATCTGTGAGAGAGATTTAATACTAATTGTTAACAAAATTATTGTGAGTTTAGTAGGGGTTTTAGTGTCTTCAACCATATGAACAGTGCACATAAAAATTGTCAGAAACAACCATTTAATTTCATAACTATTGATGTACATCTATTGCAATTTCCCTAATTTAAATCTTCTGAATCTGCAGTCGGATGAAAATGACATGTGGTCAAATCAGATCATATCTTCTTTATTATATCGATTTTAATATTTGTCGTCTTCACAAGATGTAGTTTATGGGCAAAAGACTTTTAGTTTCTATAAGAAGAAAATCGCTGTAGTAAAAAAAAAAAAAAAACAAGGGAACAGACGCGAACAGTGAAAAGGGTCGATAAACAAATCGTCTTTATTAGTCAATCACAAAATAGAAACAAAATACTTCAGCTTTCTAGAACATGTATTAATTCGCTTAATTGGTTTTCTATTTATAAAATTAGGTTTTTGACTCGCACACGCGCGGATCTGTTCTAATGATTTTAAACTGTATATATATATATATTTTTTTTACAAACGCTTCACATTTTTTTTTTTTGCTTTTGTTTTTTTTATAAATTTTCTTTGTAATATACTTTTTAATTATTTTTTTACTTAACCAATTTAATTATTTTATAATTAGTCATAATAAGTAAGGTACTTTTTAAAAACATATTTTCTGTAAAAACATACAATAGCCTATCCTCACATTTCTTAAATTAATCCCTTAATTTTACTATTATTAGACACTTTTTAATTTTTTATATCCATTAAAGGTCATCGGCAACTTTTGTACAATCCAATATTAGTCTAATACATATTTTAGTTGTTAATTTCCTTTTTAATTTTATTTATTAGTTTAGCTTTTCCAGCTCTGAGTTTATGATTTATACTTAATTTTTTTTATATTTTTTAGTTTAATTATTTTGCATTCAATTCCATTTAATAAATTCATCTCTTTATTTTTAAATCACTGTTTTGATAGTTAAAAAGTCTCATATATTCCAAACTTTTCTTTTTCGTATCCTGTTTAATTAATAACCGCGTTTCCAATTCCCGTTTTGGTTTTTACGGTTCGGTTTTGCTATCACATTGAAATTAGAAATGATTCGTTGTTTTTCTTCATTTGCCGACAACAAAATCGAACAATGTTTCTACCTTATTCCCACCGGAACATTGTTAATCTCATCATCGAGATCCCTCTTCTTTGTTTCTCATCTTGGTTATTTGCCTTAATCCTCTGAGCGATTGAGACCTGTCAAAACTAATTTGATCAATTGATTGAGGGAACAGTTTCTGCTTTAATCCCTCTTCCGAGACTTTATTTCTCTGTTTCTTCTACTGATTCTCTCAAGCTAATCACTTCGTGAAAGGTTTGAATTTTCCTATTTTGAAGCCAGTTTTGTTGATGTTGAGATTATGTGTTTAGCGTTTAATCTATTTCTTCCGATCCAAATTTGTGATAAATCTATAACTCTAGGTGATGCCAACTGCTCCGCCAAGTTCCAGAGACTCAGAGATGTCTAATTTTTCAAAATTGTCGCCTTTCGATGGACGTTACTGGGGTAAAGCTAATGACTTTGCCTCTTCCATGAGCGAGTTTTCTTTTATCAATTTCCGAGTACTTGTCGAGGTACTTGTTTCTCACCCAAGTGAATGTTTATTATCTAATTTATGATTTTGTTCTTTTCATTTTTGTGTTGACTAAGTATTTGCGAGTTCTTTAGTTGTCTAATGCTCTTTTTTTTTATATATTTGGTAGATTAAATTGCCTCTGTATCTTTCAAAAGTCCCTCAAGTCACCGAAGTTCCATGCTTTTCAAAAGATGTGATGTTTACTTGCATGCTTTTCCAACATTGAGTTTCCAGTTTATTCATAATTTATTTATCTCTTTTATTATTGTTTTTGTTAGTTTAACTCTTTTTATGTTGAATTTCCATTAAATTATTAAAAATAATGGGTTATGATAATTTGTGTCATAATGTAAATATTAAAATTTACAATAGTACAATTTTCATTCTTTAATATGATAATGTACGATAATGTAATATTTCTTAAAAACTTATTTAATTTTCGAATTTTAATTTAAAATGCTGATTTGGCAAAATTTAATTGGTTTCTTAAACGCTGATGTGGACGTCCTCAAAGACTTATAGCCTCAACTTTAATATAATATAGAATTGATAACGTATCAGAAAATTTGCTCTAATATATAAAAGAACCTTAGAGGATAGTTTTTCACATATATATTACTCCCTCAATTCCACAATAAAAAAGTACATTTTAAAACAAAAATAACAATGAAACGTCCAAACAAAAAAAACAATATTTAAGTGGAGATGATGTACCCCTCCGTTCAAACATAAGTTGTCAGACTTAAGAGATTCTTGAAGTTGCTCGCAAAATAAAACTTCCTCTTGTTTATAAGTTATAACTAATAGTTAATCAGATACTTTACTAAAACAAAGGAACATATATGATTCCCCAGGATTTCGATATAAGAACTTGATTCTTAATCTTGATTAGAAGTACTAACGTTTTACTTAATTATAAGATATACACAGTATATATGATTTTTAGTTACAATGCTACGGTGTTTATATGACCAGAAAAAGTAGAACAACTCGCCGGCAATTTCTTCTTCGCTATCAAAATAATACCAGACACGTTTTGATTAATGTAAATATTTTTATCTAAAAAATAAAAATTAATCAGTTTGAGATACGGAAACCCTAGGAGTCGTGTAGATGTGTGGACACGTGTGAGAAGCTGGCCACATGTAAAGTATCCTTGCACGATTCTTAAAGTTCTCTCGGCCATGGTTAGGCGTTAGGCTGGACCTTATTAATCGATTTTCCACTTTTGTGAAGTTGTTTAAGCTTATCTTTTATATTGTATATATGTGCACATTATGTATTATATACATTGTTTTGTATGCGTACTTAATTTATTATATAATGTTAACGTATACATGTATTAATGCGTCTTTATAATGTATATATACGTAAGCAAGTATGAAGAAGGTACATCGCCAAGACTAATTTTCAGGCAGCCTTGTCCAAACATTGATATTTGCATCATTTACCATGTATATTTTAATATCGAACTTGTTAATTTTTCTGTAAATTAACATGTTATGTATTTGCAGTCGATCTCATATTGTTATTCCAGTAAAGCTTCTGTTAAAATACTTTTTTTGCTTCCAAAATTTTCGTTGTATCTTATTTTTTGGTCGTAGTTTTCCGATTTCTTCTGTTTTCTAAATTGTCTCTATAATTGCTGTCACAAATCTTAAAGCTTCTGTTATAATTTTTTATAAAATAAAAAAATAAAAAATAAAAAGAGGAAAAGAAAGTATGATTTCGTGTCTGCGTACGTACATAAATGTATACAATACTGGCCATATGTAGACAATATAGCGAACTGACTCAATAAAGTCTTTTACGTTGTGTTGTCACTATGATATTAATGCGAAAAAGGTCGAACTGAATTCAAACGGGGTTAATTTATTTAGAGATTCAAGATGTATATACATTCCATATTTTCGCCTTATCGGGACATAACTCGTATCCGTTGTGAGTTGTGACAAATATAAACCTTTATTTTGGGTACGTGTATTAATTATTAATCAATGTTCGTTATGGTGCCCATATCACAGTTGTCGCCTTCCTCTTTCCCTCCAAAACTATATTTTCTTCCGACAAATTTAAAGTTGATACAAGAGATATAATTGTTTATTCAGTTTTAAAAATCTAGATTTCCCAATTGGGAAATTGCCAACGTAACTCTATATAAAGTAAGCTTATGTCAGGCACGCAAATAAAGGTGTGCATGTTAATAAAAAATATGGTCGGTCGAAGAACGATTTACCTTGATATTTTGTGTGGTTTTTTCTTTCTAATTATCAGCGTATATTGTAAAGTAAAGTGGATTGCTGATATTTGTATTACATATACAGGTAGTTTTTTATGGGCATTTATTGAATCTTAACGTTATTCGCTGGAACACTACGTTGTAAATTGTCATATAATTTTAAACTTGATCATATCAGTATCACTTAATTAGATGATATTTTTTAACCGACGTTTACATGCCGAATTTACAATATTGATCAAAACGTAACAAAAACCGATCAACACTACAGTCTACAATAGCATCTTGTCATCACGATCACAAGACTATTATCAATTGATCTTAGTCTATTAAGTTCTTTAGTAAAGTAACCTAAGAAATCGTTAAAGCTTGAAAGACGTCAAGTTCACTAGTTAAAGCATGCCTATGTATGGGATTACACGTTTTAAAATATTTTTTAAAAAATATCTTAAACCGATAATTATCCTATAAAATTGGTTGTTACACACAAATATAATTTACATACAGTAATTAAGGACGCTAATTACAATATGTTGGTAGAAATATGAAAATCATTCCATTAGTACGTACGTATAATTACCATCGTCTGCGTAGCTATCCACATATATGCTCGACAGTAGATGTATGCTTCGTGTTGCCAAAACATTAAATCTGGCATCGTCCTTTATATACATTCAGATTCAACTTGACTAGTTGACTGGATAAATTTGCCTAGCTGATCGAGCTAACCGATACCATATTTTATTTGTAGTATCAATTTTGTTAGTATATATACTCATGAAAATATGTGTTTCGTGATCTTATAGTCTACTTTGGAAAAGGAAAAACTAACCTTAGTGATCTTATAGTTAATTTTCATTCTACTCGTAAAATTGATAGATTTGTTATGTTAAAACTTAAAACATTACGAATTTATTTCTTTTTTCTTAAGATTCGGACAAATTATCTTATGTTTTTTATCTATGCTATGCTATGGTGTGGATGCTTACAAATATCAAAACTTTCCTCGTTATTTTATACTTTCGAGATTAAGGAGGCATGAACCATGGTGAGCCAAGTGTCACTGAAGTGAATTGACAATAGGAAAGTCGCCGAAATTTTTAATGCGGGGAAAATTAGGTTTTGAGTTTTGACGGTTTTAAATTCAACAAATGTGTTGTCAATACATATCCAGTAAACAGTATATGGCTGAAAATAAATATTCGGCTTCTACAAACTAATTTTTGTTTGTATGTTTGTTGACGACTCCACAAAATATTCCGTGCAGTTGCAGTTTATATTACACCAACTAACTCATATCAGTATATCTATCACATATGTTGGACCCAGATTCCACACCTGGAATCTAGCCCGTAAGGGCCCATTACCTTGATTCAAGATTGAAGTCCAGGCCCACTCAAGCCCAGCAAGAAGACCTCGAGCCCACCAAGCGACTCCCTCGTAAGCCAGTTAACTGCCATCGAGCTATTCCGGTCGACGTAAAGACGAGCTCCAGCTCGATCAAGGACCAGGTCGGCACTGCGAAGAAAGACGAAGTCAAAGAAGATCTCCTTCAAATCCGGTCTGGTCCGAGATCACCGGGATCGTTAGCTGCACGTGGCGAGATACGCGGAGGTGGATCGTAGCTGATTCTGGAGCTATAAAAGGAGCTTGACAGCAGTCGGATCAAGGAGATCTTTTACAACTTCTTCCGATCATTAGACCTAATTACTATCATACTTTCCTTGTATTTTCCTTTGAGCTTAGTTCTTTCTCTCTTCTGAGAATTCATTGTAACCATTTTCATTCGTTTAATACAATTCCGTTTAGCCAAATCCTTGCTTACGATTCATTCGACTTACATCAAAATCTAGCCCTAAATCTCCCTAAGTTTCTTCCTTGCAAAACCTATAAATTTCGAGTGTGGTTTTCATAGCCCACAGCATACGTTGTTAGTCTTGTACAAAGACAGTATGTATGCACGCACGAATCACAAAAGTAGAGAATCGTTTCTTGGTAAGACTTTTCCTGGAAAGGTAACTCATAAATATTCTTTAGACATGCATATAGAAGTCAAGTTCTTGTTTTGATCTAATCAAGAGTAGGTTTAAGTCCCATAAGTTTGTTGATTAAATTGCAAGATTAAATCTTGGTGGTTTACCACTTTTGTTGTTGCAAGTTTAATATTTTTCGTTCTGCCGAATTGCAAATCCGACATTCCGTGTTTATGTTTATGTGTTATTTATATCTTAACATTTTGTTTCTAGGTGGGACAAAAATAATCGAATCAATGGACACCTAACCGAAACAATGGAGTAATGGACATCCAGTTTCAGGGAGATGAGGATTTCATGTTTTTGGATGCATGTCTTATGGTATGGTACTATTTCTATGACCTTGTGAGTTGTGACTTTGTACTTTGGTATATGAATGTGCAATATGGATGTTTAATGATATTTCAAAAATAATCGAATCAATGGACACCTAACCGAAACAATGGAGTAATGGACATCCAGTTTCAGGGAGATGAGGATTTCATGTTTTTGGATGCATGTCTTATGGTATGGTACTATTTCTATGACCTTGTGAGTTGTGACTTTGTACTTTGGTATATGAATGTGCAATATGGATGTTTAATGATATTTTATAAAATCTTTTGCGATTTTACGTTTGCTTTAGTATACACGCGTACTTTTAATAATATGTATGTACGGTACCATCTTTATATTATTAATTGAGAAGTACATTCTAATGTTTGGATACAAGAATAAGAGAAACATCTATTTGGATAGAAGAATAAATGGAAAAAAAAGTTGTTTGGATATAAGAATAAGAGAAAAATCTATTTGGATAGAAGAATAAATGGAAAAAATTGTTTGGATACAAGAATAATAACTTAAAACAAACCGATGGTTTAGAAAACTTCCGTTTTCCAGCTCTTAAAAAATCTGCAAAAAAAAAAATTAACATAACTATCGAATCAATAGAATATGATCAAATGATATTTGCAAAATTTCCAATAGTGAAATAGAAATACGTCTAATTTAAATCAAATTGTTTTTGTTCGGATTTTTTTAAAATTTCTGTTCGGTTTGGGTTCGAGTTTTTTTGGGTTTAGTTCAGGGTTTTCGGGTTTAGACATATTAAAAAAGTTTGGTATTTTAAAATTTTTATTAGGGTTTTTAGGTCGGGTTTCGGGTGAAAAAGTTTCGAGTTTTTTTTTATTCGGTTCAGGGTTTTCGGGATTTTTTGATTTTGGATTTTCGGGTTTAGACATATTAAAAAGGTTTGGGTTTTTTTAAAATTTTGATTAGGGTTTTTGGGTCGGGTTCGGAGTTTAAATTTAGATTTTCTTCACAAAACCGCAACGTACACCGCGCGTTTGTGCGGGTCCTCTACTAGTAAAATTTATAAATAACTGTACAAAAGCTATATACATATATACAAGACGATAGAGCGAGCGACCCATGTACATACACCAAACAGATTACATAATTAAAAACCGATATCGTTCAAAAAGAATCTAGTGTCCAAAAAAAAAGAACAAATAAAAAAGAATCTAGTGTACACTACCTACATACATGGACTATAAGTCTATAACTATAAGAAAACTCTATTTAAGGCTTATCATTGTTTCTTTCTTATGGTTCAAGGTGAACATTACATTTACATGTGCGTATATATTTTATTTATGGCTTATTATTTGTTTTTTTTCCGATATAAAATCACTAATCATGAGTTCATGACCTACGTATGCAGTTAATGCTCGGTATGCAATTATCAATATACAGTGAAATTTTACTGTGCCTAGTTATATACGTGCATGTTACTGTACACATACGTATGTAGTATCCTATTAAAAAAAGTGAGCTAACGAAAAAAAAAAAAGCATTTCCCTTTATCTCTACGTAAGGGCCAAACTGCTGAACTTTTTTAAAAAGAAAAACTTTGATAAAAAGAATTAGGCTTATGAAAACGAATTAACCAATTAATCGTTTTGAATGGCTCTCCTTCTCTTTAATTAGTTTGTTTTGTTTGGTCAATATCTCACACGCTCTTTTTGCATGCTCTTTGACACGTGCTCTCTTCGTCTCTCTCAATGAGCTGTCTCTCTAATAAGAGAGAGTTTCTCTGTATAGGAAGCTCTATTTGAAACCTCCTCTCTCTCTCAACTCCTCCTCCTTTTCTCTCTCCTCTTACCATATGAGAAGGGGCCTATAAAACCCCTTCACATCTCCTACTTGGTTTGCATCACAATTCACAAGTACAACTTCCATTACACAGACACTAACAAACAAAAACTCATTTATAAAAAAAAAAAAAAAAGTCACAAGTTCTTTGTTGTTCAGCTACTTCCCCTTCCCACTCATACGAAGTGGGTTTTCTGATCAAAGAAGTGAAAATTTGAGTCTTTTCAGATGGATTTCTCCACCATGTTTCTCACTACCCTCGCCGGAGTTTTCTTCCTCTACGTTCTCCGGTGTCTGATCTCTCAGCGCCGCCGTGGATCCTCGAATCTCCCACTCCCACCGGGAACAATGGGTTGGCCTTACGTCGGCGAGACTTTCCAACTTTATTCTCAAGACCCAAATGTCTTTTTCGCATCCAAACAGAAAAGGTCCGTCTTTTTCAAAACTACAAAATCGCAAAAGTTGAAAGTCATCGATTTTTTTTTTTTTTTTAGAAACTGAAAAATTAATTGGTCTTTGATTACAGGTATGGATCGGTGTTTAAGAGCCATATACTGGGATGTCCATGTGTGATGATCTCGAGTCCTGAGGCTGCCAAATTCGTGCTGGTGACGAAATCTCATCTCTTTAAACCGACTTTCCCGGCGAGTAAAGAGAGGATGTTGGGGAAACAAGCCATCTTCTTCCACCAAGGTGATTATCACGCTAAACTCAGAAAGCTCGTTCTTCGTGCTTTCATGCCCGAAGCTATCAGAGACATGGTTCCCGATATCGAATCCATCGCCCGAGATTCCCTCCGTAACTGGGATGGAACCACAATCAACACTTACCAAGAAATGAAAACAGTAAGCTTTAGCTCTCTCTTTCCTCCAATTTTCTCAGCTGAAAAACAGAGCAAGACAATCCCCTGTTTTCGCCTCTCTGTTTTTAAGCTTCTTTTCTCTGCTTAAAAACAGAGCAAGACACATACTTTCCTCTGTTTTCAACTGTTTCGATCTTGTTTTCTTTCATCAGTACACCTTCAACGTCGCGCTGCTATCGATCTTCGGAAAAGACGAGGTTCTATACAGAGAAGATCTAAAACGATGTTACTACATTCTCGAGAAAGGCTACAACTCGATGCCGATAAACCTCCCTGGAACACTCTTCCACAAAGCCATGAAAGCACGCAGAGAGCTCTCGCAGATCCTCGCTATAATCTTATCAGAGCGAAGACAGAACGGCTCCTCGCACAACGATCTCCTCGGATCGTTCATGGGAGACAAAGAAGAGCTCACCGACGAACAGATCGCCGATAACATAATCGGGGTTATCTTCGCCGCTAGAGACACGACGGCGAGTGTGATGACGTGGATCCTCAAGTACTTAGCTGAGAATCCCAACGTTCTAGAAGCCGTTACTGTAAGTACATATATTGACACGTATTTGTCGTCTTATGGTGATAAAAACAGAAGAGTGTGGCAGTTTGGTAAATTTTCTGTGTTCTAATGTTTGTCTTTTTTGTTACAGGAAGAGCAAATGGCAATAAGGAAAGGCAAAAAAGAAGGAGAATCTTTGAGTTGGGGAGATACAAAGAAGATGCCAATAACTTCAAGAGTCATTCAAGAAACATTAAGAGTCGCTTCAATCTTATCTTTCACCTTCAGAGAAGCTGTCGAAGATGTCGAATACGAAGGTATACATAATACATATTAGTCATGCAATTTAAATTAAACCGATCTTGTCTTATCTTATCCCAAACTTACAAAATGAATTCTTAAATCTCTTTTTACAGGATACTTGATACCTAAAGGATGGAAAGTTTTGCCGCTTTTCAGAAACATTCATCACAACGCTGATATTTTCTCAAATCCGGGGAAGTTTGATCCATCAAGATTTGAGGTAATTTATAATTTCGACAATAATATCTTTTGATTACTCTGATTTTATTTTGATGAATGATTTTTGTATTGACATTGATTTCAATGGTACATAGGTGGCGCCAAAACCCAATACTTTCATGCCATTTGGCAATGGGACCCATTCGTGTCCTGGAAATGAATTAGCTAAGCTTGAGATGTCTATTATGATTCATCATCTGACCACCAAGTACAGGTGTGTACCACTACTACTTATTACCTTCTCTCTCTCTCACACCTAATCGTATTCTCTGTTTTTCAGAACTTATGAAATGGTACTATTTCTTTGATAAAAATAGAAATGTTTTTGATAAGGGGTATATTTATAATTTTCAGATGGTCGATTGTTGGAGCTAGTGACGGTATTCAGTATGGGCCATTCGCGCTTCCCCAAAACGGACTGCCCATTTTGCTGGCCCGGAAGTCGGAGATCGATATGTAGAATGACGGGATTACCCCTTATCTTTCTACAAATTGGGAAGAAGGGACTAAAGCAAATAAAATAATTCTTTCTTTCTTATTAAAGGAAAATAGAGAGAGAGTTGGAGAAAAAAAATATTAAGATTTTGGTAGGAAAACTAGAAAAGATTTCCAAATGGGAAAAGAGGAGAAAGCACCAAGTGTACAAAAAAACTCTTTCTTTTTTTCTTAACCTTTTATTTTATTTTTTTCTATTTTTTTGTAGTTTTTTAATTCTAGATTACGATGATGAAAAAGTTGGTTACTTAATTTTGAAAATTAGGAAAAGTGTTATATGAATATCAAATGTATTCTTTCTTCACTCCAAAAATATCTATATTCTAATGTATATGCTAATTGATTCATCACGGATTGGGACTTTCCCATATCTTATAATATAACTTGTTTTATTTTTATTTTTTATAAAGTGTTGTTTTACAAAACAATATTCACAAACATCCTTCCAGGTCCTGATTGACTATTAACTACTGTAGTTGGTTCAAAATAATACCATATGTTTGGTGAAAAGGTAAAACAACAAATATTAGTTAGATCCATTCCAAGCAATTTGGTCTTGGCTTTTTACCGTACCTATCAATTAGGGTATTTGACAAAAAGAAATGAAAAATCAAATAAGGTGTCTTGATTTGGTGTACGGATCCATGAATCTCCAAATGCACTTTAAGCACGCTAGTGTTACTTATTTGATTATAGGATAAACGGATCCATATTTTAACTTGATCCTAATAAAATTAGATTATTAAAAAAACGAATAGAATCAAATAGCTTAGTAATTTTTATGTCGTACTATTAACGTTTGAAATGACAAATTTTGTAGTTACAATAAGCTTTGAGAATGTTTCATGCGATCCAAGATTTATCCAGTTATAGAAATAGTACATAACTTATTTTGTCATTTTGTTTTACCAAACATGTAAATACAATCATCATATTAACTACACCTACTACATTTTTCTTAGGTAGACTCAGTAACCACAACAATGAATGAATATAGTTTCGCCACAATCATTTTATAGATATTTATTTGTTTGACGTACAAACTATTAAAAATCATACTCTATTCAAATACTATGACGGACGAGTGACGACTTTGACCATCATCATCATCACCCGTGAATTATATGGTCATCGTCGCTGTAATAATATTACTTTTTCAGTTTTCTCAACACCTGGTTATTTTATATTTTTTTTACTAGTTAAGACATATATCGTAGTTAATGATATTATGATATGCCATGATTGAGTATTGGTGCACAGCTGTGATTGCTCCTCAAGGAAAAAAATATCGAACGGGCTATCAATTTCTAGTCTCTATCTTCTGTCTTATTATCGTTTTTGTTTAAACTATGTATTTATATTCTGCTATTCCCTCATCTCAAAGAAGAAAATTATAACAAATAGTAGTGTCTTATGGGCATTGCACAAGTGAACCATACTATTGTAAATTTCTGTAATGTTGTCTATTTGTCATCTAAACAGAAGTATAAACAGAAGCGATTTGCGTCCTTTTTCGCACTAAATTATATGATTGTAGCACTTTTTTTCTTTCTATGATTGTAGAACTTTACCCTACATATAATATTATAACCAAATGGAAGATTTGATGTTTTCAACCAAATGATGTGTGAGCTGCATGATTACTATTATAAAAGAAAACAAAAATCTACAGGATTAGTAATTTAGGATATACAGTATATAGAACCAAACAGATCGTTTGAAGTTTGAACATTATTATTTTATATCTTTTGTAAAAAGGGCCTGAACATTATTATTGTATATGTTTGCTTGTTTTGGGGGCATTGTATTACTTTACGTCATATTGTCGTCCTTTAAACGTACCATGATCCACGACATTCACGTTCATCTTCTATATTCCAGAATAATATAGATATATTATGAATGATGAATCATGATCAATGGTCCCGAATATGCCAGTCCGTGTAATGAATTGCATTATTTTGTGTATACAGGTACAGTTAATGTTTTTTGGAGAGCTTGAATATAGCTAATTCGTTTTTATATCCCTTAGTACTCGACACTCGTTGTTACGCCATAAATTTTGTTCATGAAAGGAATAAAGGATGACGTGTTATTTTTTTTGAACTATAAACTCCATAATGCATGAAATCAATGTTTAAGCTCATACAAATGCAAATGCCAAAAAAAAAAAAAAAAAACAAGTTATAAGAAACATTTATAGGATACTACTGCATATCGAGATTTTTCGACGTAATCAGATTCTCTCACTGTCCTAATTTTTCTTATGTTCGTACCAAATCTTCTATTTCTTACGCCTCTGTACCAAATCGGGCCAATCGACGATTCTCAACATATTTAAATTAGAATAATGATGAGATCATACGTATTATTACTATGTAAATAAATAAAATCTGTCGTATTCAATTGTACTTCTGATTGCAAGTAATGATGATGCACTAACATACATAAAGAAACAGACATTATGCTTTGACCTTAAATAAATAACTTAGAATTGTAGCTCTTATAAGGAGAAATATCTATTTGACTTGTAAACATATTAGTTTTTATATTCCGAAGTAAGTACGTGTACTATCAACTCCTCCATAACGTGGATTGTTGCGGATTAATCAATGTGATCATTTAATTAATAACGAAGAACAAACAGTCTGTCATAGATTGTTTGTATATTAGTTGACTTTAGTGGCTGTAAGCCATGATATTTGAATGAATATACAGTAAGTGAACAAACCTCTATTTACGACAAAATATATAAATTAAGGAGTACCGTGGTCGTTCGATTTACAATTCATGAAAGAAAGAAAGTGATATGATTTTTTTTTTTTTTTTTTTTCTGACATAAAACAAGAATCACTCTCCTTTAAAATTGATAAACAAACAATGTATCTGTGAAGTGTGAAGGAATCATATGGTCGGTAGAAAGTACAGAATCACAAGGGGTTGTTCTGTTGCTAGTGACTTGAATCCAAGTCATCCATTATCAATGTCTACAGATACCCAAACAGTTTCATTTTGTTTATTACGAAAATAAATACATGTGCCACAAAATGATCATTTTTCAACAAATCTTATGGTTGTGATAAAAAGTCACAATATGTTTGTTTACGTAACAACTAACGACATCTTTCCTAACATAATAAGATAGCATTTTTTGCATGAGTTAAAATTTATAATCGAAGCAAAACGAAAGTACCATTTTCTATATAAAAAAAAACCAACGCACCACTAATCTAAGTTGAGCCAGTTAACCAGAACTGAACAAGTTATATAGTAACTTTTAGACCTCATGTTGTGGTTTCTGAGCAGACTGATTCGAGCTTCCATTTGACAATTCTGTTCTTCGGCCTCGTAAGTGGATGAAGACGAGAAGAAAACAATTTTAAAATGGCAAATATTTTGAAACTCTTAGTTTTTCTTTCACGCACTTACTTACCCTTTGAAGAAAACCGGTTAGTTTTGTAGTTGTTAGATCATATGCTAATTAGTCCATTACATTCTTCCTGAGCATGAATCATTGTCGCAGAAATATCAGAATACAAAAGAGGAACATGTTTACTAGATGCAAGAAGTAAACAAATATATATATATATATATATATATATATATATATATAAATTGATATAACTAGCAAATTTGTTGTTTATCAACATTACTTGAAATGGTTAACATTGTGCATCAAACTCATCATGTAACGATGGTGGAAACGTCGTCATTAATTGATTCACACAAGTTTCTTTATGTTTAAATCACGATAACCTATAGTAACATGTTTTCAAAGTCAAGAATTACCTCTAATGTCTGATGCAAATTCACAATTATACTAACATGACAGAGAGACAGTCAGTTTAAATTAAAAAAGGCTTCTTCTTGATTTATGTAACAACAAGCATATGAAACTACATCCCTGACTATATCTAATCTAATACTAATAAATCAGCAGTCACCTAATGGCCTACCTTTCTGACACGTGTCCACCGAATTTCGTTTTTTAATTTAGGATTTCGATTTTTTTTTTAATTGCTTTTCTTTTCTTTTTTCTTCTCTTTTTCCCTGAAAATTCATCTTCTCTTCCACCCACGATACCACGATCTCTTTCTAAACCTCTAAACCGCTCTACATCACGTTCTTATACCTCATAAATTCTGTATTGCTATGAATCTCTCACTTCGTTTTCATCTTCAACTGCTCTGTTATATCTTTCTAGATCTTAAAAGTTATCTTCCTCCTTTCAAAATCTTCATCTCAAATCCGCCCAGATCTATGAATCAAGACTATTCTTCTTAAATCAGGTATCTCTGTAATCTGGGTTCTTTTTCGTTCTCTGTCAATTGATAAGTTTGATTCAATCTGGGCCTGAAATATTGTAATTGCTTTAGATTTGAATTTCTTGAATGCTTGGTGTTGTTTGTTTTGGTTATGAAATTGGAGAATTTAGGCAATGAATGACGAAATTTATTTGGTGCTTGAGTTTGTTTGAGATTGGTCACTCTGAATGCTTCAATTGATAAAGTTTTTTTTTTCCTTCTTTGTTTACTGAAAAACTTGCTTTAATCTCTGATTAAAATTTGGTAAATTGCTTTTGACTATAATCCTCAAATGCTTGGTGCTGTTTTGGTTTTATGAGATTGAAGGATATAGACAATAGATAAAAAATTTGTTTGCTGTTCTTATGTCGTAGAGGATTGATTGTTGTTACCAAAACCTTCATTATAACTTCCTGTTTTCTGAACTGAATTTCAGGTTTTCAGAAGTTCCTTTAACCCAAGATGAAGCTTCCTCTCACACCAATTGCGGACTTAAAATCATATCCAGAGAACGAAGTTTACAAGATTGAAGCTCGAATTAGCCGTCTTTGGCGATTTCAAAACAATGGCAATTCTGGAAATGATGGTGGAGCTGATTTAATACTTGTGGATGATAAGGTACATAAACCTATCTTACTTCATCATGTTAATCTGTTTTATTAAAGTGTTTTGCACAAGATAAACAAAATTTGATTGTATATTTTGGTTTTATGATAGGGAGATCGTATACAAGCCTGTATTAGAGGATGAAAGTTAATAGCCAAGTTCGAGAAGGAACTCGAAGAAGGAAATTGCTGTGTTTTGATGAACTTTAAGTTGTCTCAAAATCTTGGCAATTACAGGGGAACAAATCATCCTTTCAAAAAAAATTTCAGCTGGTCAACACATGTGAAGCTTTGCGAGCAGATTCCAGACCACTCCCTGCGTTTTAATTTGATATCTTTTGATGAGCTGCTCCCCGAGGCTCATGACTAAAAAGTCTTCGTCGGTATGTGCTATCACCACTGGTTCTTTTTCTTTTTTCATAGTTAAACATTTGCTTCATGTTTTTAGTGATTGGAGAGACTTCTTTGTTCGTTATGTACCTTCTCAAGTTCCACTTTCTTTTACACAGATATAATTGGCGAGATAATTGGAATGAATGATCTTAAGGAAATTACAGCACAAAATCAGCCCTGTAAACTATTGAATCTCCAACTCAGGAGCATTGAGTTAGTAACTTTAATCTTAGGAAACTCAGTTTTGAAATATTAGGTGTACGGTGATGTTTAAGTCATAAATTTGTTTGTGTTTCAGTGGATCAATAATTGATTGTGTGTTTTGGGAAAAATATGCTGAGGAGATACATTCATATGTTGAGTCCTTCTCTGGTGGACCTATTGTTCTGCTTTGTAGTCTCATGAGGATTAATGTTTATAAGGGTATGTTTGATAATATTACATTAGAATACATTGCCAAACTTCACAATACTAACGTTTTTTTATTTTCAACTTTTTTGTAGGAAAACCTACAATCCAGAGTGGAAAATCCTCAACTAAGCTGTTCATTAATTCTGATATTCCTGAGATTAATGAATTCAAAGAAAAGTGAGTGTTAATGATTATATTTTGGTGGTTTTTGAATTTCAGCATATTTATAGTTTTTTCAACTAATACTATTCTTAAATCTATACATTATAGGATGCCAAGTTTCTTCGGACAACTTTACTTTGGGTTCTCCAAAAACTATTTCTGAACTGCTTACATCACATGAGGTTAGCTTTCCTATTTAAAACCTTCTCACATAACAATAAATATCACTCATGCACTTATTTACTTTCATTTTCATCTTTATCTCTAGGTAATGACGTGTTCTGTATATGCAAAAATATCGGCAATGAAAACTGAGATTCCTTGGTTCTATCTTGGCTGTCCAAAATGCTCCAGAAGAGTGAACCAATACTTGAATCCTGAAACTGAAGAAATAGAAGCTGACAAGTTTACATGTGACCAGTGCCAGAAAATTGTTGATTCCACAGTCACAAGGTATGCCCTTAATCTATCACCTCACATATATATTTTGGTGTTCATGTTTTGTCATTGCAATTTTAATAAATTACTGTTTCTTTTCATAGATACCAGGTTCATGTCAAAGTAACAGATGATACGGGAACCACTTCTTTACTTATGTTTGACAGTGAGGTCATAAAACTTATTCACAAATCTGCATATGAGTTACTAGAGCAACAAGTTCAGGTAAACTTCATATTATATATTCATCATAATATCGATATTCATCGAAGCTATCCTGATCTTTTTTTTGTTTGGTATATTATGGCAGTTCAACCGTGGGAGACAATACCCACAAGAACTTCTAGCTTTAGATGGTCGCGAGTTCGTTTTCACAATCTTCAAACCCGAAACAAGCAAAAATTTCATGCCGACAACTTTTAAAGTTGTTACATTCACTGAAGATCCAGTGAAAATTCAAACGTTTCTTGATGGCAATGACAACACGGTAAATAATTATAAGTCTCTCAAGATTATATTGCACTCATAGGTTTGTCTTAATTACTTTACAAAATGTGTATGTAGGCTGATACTGCTGCGATTGGTCCTCATTCCCCGAGCTCAATTGAATTAACCACCAATCTGGTATGTCTAAAGTTTTGTGCAGCTTTATGTTTGTCTTTTTTCCCTCACTTTGACAATCTATATGAGTTTATAATTAGATACACAAGTAGTCAAAACTGAAAATGAATTTACTTACTCTTTCTTTACATGAATTTGGTTACTTAGTATTACATACTCTAGATGTTCTATTAATGGGAAGATGATTCGTTGTTAATTGGGAATGAGTGTTCGTGTGTTTCTCTTCTTTACCTGAAATTTTTGTTTCATCATACTACATAATTCAGTTGTCTCTGCATACCTAAAATTTGGTTACTCTTTCTTTAATTTGGTTTCTCAGATCGAAGATGTCTCTGTTGAAGTGTCTAACAACAACTCGATAAGTGGTTCGACAGAGTCTCCAGCTACTACAAGCAAAAAGCGAGCTATAACTTCTGATGAAACACCTTTACCATCTGAAAATTGTGTTGCATCACTCTCAGCAAAGAAACTGAAACCAGAAGTAACTCCTTTACCTGAAGAAGAAGCTGGACAGCTTTCATCCACCAAGCCAAAATCGAGCATTAAGCAAGTAACTAAGGATACTGGTGTGAAACTTTCATCAACTAGGCTGCAACAGAAAATGACGGCAAATCTCATTCCAAAGAAGGAGAAAAAAGGATGCTTAAGCTGTTTTGTTTTTTTATTTTAAAACTATGTTCTGTTTTATATGTTTTCATTGTTTTCCTTATTAGGTTTTATCTTTGACTTAAGCAACATCGTTTGTAATTATTGTGTTCTTTTTATCGACTTCTGTATAAAATTTTAATGTGTGCGCTTTGTTTAATTCATTTGCAAACATATTTACATGTGCTAACTATAAAGAGACTCAAATTAATAAGATGAGAGAAACTTAGCTCAGCAACGATTATGTTAAGTTTACTAAAATGTTAAACTATCGACTAGAAACATCGACTAGCTTAGTGACTTGATTAAAATGATCATTCATTACTATGAAGAATTTTACGTTACTTACATTCATTACATTAAATATCATACACTTAATATGAAAAAATATATTTCTCTATGCTAACAAGAAGTAGAGTACGTAAACTAAATTAAATACATTGTGACAGTTATTCTAAAATTAGAGTACAAAATTTGACAAAGGAGCCATTATTTTTGGAGGGACTTGAAATTAATTTGAAAGATAACCGTTCGGCACATCTTCGTTCTTCTTCACTCTGTTTCTTTACTCTCTCCATACTTGCTCTACCTTCATCACAGTTAAGCAACTTTCCACACCTTTCGTAATTTTAAAAACCTGTAAAAACACATGTCTGCTTGATAAGTTACTCTCTTCATGAACCTCATTCACTCATAAGTCTTACAAAACAAACATAATGCGTAATTCCAAAGGAAAAGAAAAGATCATAGAAACAGGAAGCATCAGACAAGGTAAACTTACTAACTTACAATGCTAATAATCATCTCAATTTATGTCTTTCTTTAAACAAACTAATAAATCCATCTTCTGTTGTGATCATGTTCTCTTTCCAGAGGATGCTCATCCAAGAAGTGAACGGATGCGCGTTTTGAGAGATCGGAAGAAGAATGCAAAGCCAAGAGTATCATGTATAATTATCTCCCAACTAAAACTAAACTTTGTATCTCCGATTATATCTTTAATTACTAAAATGTTATGTTCATCAAATCAGTTAATTTTAATGAGGCAAGCTCCAGCCAGCAATCTATTCCATCTTCATCTATAACTACCAATCAAAACCAAGGTATTTTACTTAACTAATCCACAAGAAATAATTCATCAATCCTATTCTACACATAACCAGCACATGCTAACAAGCTTAGATTGCTTTGAAAACTGTAATTATAACTACACACAATCATTGACTTTTTTAACAGACTACAATGACTTTAGGGATCCAACATTCGAATGTGAGCATTGTGGTGCTTTGATGTGGTACAATGAATGCATAAATAAAAGACGAAATTCTATACCTCCAGAGTTCTCGATGTGCTGTATGCATGGAAAGATAGAACTCCCTCCACCTCCTCCAGTGCCTGAAATACTTCAAGATCTTCTATTCAAAGGAGATGACAAGAGCAAAAATTTCAAAGAGAATATTAGAGCTTATACTTCGATGTTTGGATTCACTTCCATGGGAGGCAAAGTTGACACATCTATCAACAAAGGACGTGGACCCCCTATTTTCCGATTACTTGGTCAGAATTTCCACAGAATTGGAAGTCTACTTCCTTCAGATGACTCACGTCCAAAATATCAGCAACTTTACATAGTTGATACTAAGAACGAAATTGCAAACAGAATCACAGCATTCAGGTATTTTTTTGAGCTTTTATCAACTACTAATATCTTTTCATAAATGCATCTAAAGGACAATACTATTAACAATTATTTATCTATAATTGCAGCGAAAAAAGAACAGCACCAACTGCAAAATCAAAAATACTCAGGGAAGATATTGTGGAGGATATCAAAACAATGTTAGACCAGTGCAACAACCCATATGTGAAAATCCTTCGAACAGCAAGAGAACGTTTTGGAGATTCATTAGAGTCCATGAATGTAAAGGTCAGGCTGATTTCAAAACGGAAGACTGATCCTAACACATATAACATGCCTACATGCTCAGAAGTTGCTGCACTTTTGGTTGGGGATTTTGATGAAACGTTCAAGGCGAGAGATATTGTGGTGGAAACAAAAAGTAAGAAGTTGATGAGAATCTCTGAACTTCATCCGGCCTATTTGCCTCTACAATATCCAACTGTGTTCCCTTATGGAGAAGATGGATATCATATTGATTTGCATCTAAAGAGAACAACAACTATGTCGGAAAATCCAAGGTTCAGAGTAAGCATGAAAGAGTTTTTTGCATACAAAATCATGCAACGTGGCAATCAATTCAACGTTCTACACTACACAGGAAAACTCTATCAGCAATTTCTGGTTGACGCATTTACAATGATGGAAGCAGAGAGGATCGGATTCCTTAAGCTTAATCAAAAGACTTTGCGTGCAGACAGTTATAGCAATGTTTCAGCTTTTGCCTCAACTGGAAATAAAGATTCATCGATGTGCGGAGCAAGGATTGTGTTACCTTCAACTTTTGTGGGTGGTCCGAGATACATGCGTGAAAAGTACATGGATGCAATGGCTGTTTGCTCACATTTTGGCTATCCAGATTTGTTCATCACGTTCACTTGCAATCCAAAATGGCCTGAAATTACAAGATATCTAAGTAAGCACAATTTACAATCAGAAGACAGGCCTGACATTCTGGTATGAGTATTCAAGATGAAGTTGGATAGTCTTATTTTTGACATAAAAGTCAAAAACCTATTTGGTCCATCTGCAGCAGGTAAAATCCATTACAATCCATTACGTATTCCTAATATTTATAGTTTATGTCTTTTTAATTGTTCTAATAGTTTTTATTTTTAATGACCAGTGATATATACTATTGAATTCCAAAAACGGAGACTTCCACATGCCCATATTTTGCTGTTTCTGAAGCGGGGATCAAAGCTGCCTACAACAGATGATATAGACAAGGTTATATCTGCTGAAATTCCAGATCAATCATCTAATCCAGTGCTATATGATATAGTAAAAGATTTAATGGTTCATGGTCCCTGCGGGATAGAAAATCCAAGCTCACCATGCATGGCTAAAGGAAAATGTACAAAACAATTTCTTAAAGCTTATTGCACTGATACACACATCAACAAAGACGGATATCCAGTTTACCGAAGAAGAGATGATGGAAGATCAATGGAAAAGAGTGGGATTGAGATTGATAACAGGTTTATCATTCCTTACAATCCACATCTATTACTAAAATACCAAGCTCACATAAATGTCGAATGGTGCAATCAATCAAGAGCAATCAAGTATTTGTTCAAATACATCAACAAAGGAAATGACCGACTCACTGCAAAACTAATACGGGAGTCATCGAATGAAGAGCCTGAGAGTTCAGAAAATCCTTCTGAAAAAAAAGTTGATGAAATCAAGCGTTTCTTGGATTGTCGGTAAGTTTATATAAGATTAGCATTATGTTTTCACCTCATATATTAAGAATTTCATATCTTACAGTTAGTTAATTATTATTTTATAGGTATATCTCACCATGTGAAGCAGTATGGAGAATATTGAGGTTTGAGCTACATTACAGCAGTACATCTATTCAGAGGTTGTCTATCCATCTAGAAGGAGAACATGGTCTCACATATGACTCTGAGGATGATCTTGACGAAGTATTGGCAAAAGAAGGAAATCAAACATCACAGTTTTTGGAGTACATGAAAATGTGTAGTCAAAACTCTGATGCAAAGAAGTTGACATTCATTGAGTTCCCAAAGTTTTTTACATGGAACAAGAAAAGTAAACTATGAACTCCACGTAAACGAAGCCCGGCTGTTGGTAGAATCCATCAAACTTCACCATCTGCAGGTGCTCGATTCTACTTGAGGATCCTTGTGAACAAAATTCCAGGGGCAACCAGCTATAAAGATCTACGTACAGTTGATGGAATTACGTATGCAGCAAACAAGGAAGCTTGCTATGCTCTAGGTCTACTTGATGATGACAAACAGTACATTGAAGCAATCAATGAAGCTAGCGAATGGGGAACAGGCTTTTACTTACGTCAGGTGTTTGCTTATCTTTTAGTTTCAGAAAGTCTCTCAGAACTTAAACATGTTTGGTTGGAAACATGGCATCTACTTGCAGATGGCATTTTGCATATGCAACATGCAATTCTCCAACGACCAGGTTTGTGACTATTATCGAGATAATAATAAAAAAAATTAAGTGAAATGCAGTTTTTCTTTTGATTAAATGTATTATGGTTTGACTTTTCAGGACATGAAATGTCAGATGATCAGCTAAAGAATCAAACTTTGTTGGAGATTGAGAAGCATTTGCGCTCAAATGGAAGTACTCTAGAAAACTTCACTACAATGCCATTTCCTACGAATAGCAACATACCATCAATGGTCAACAGATTGATAAATGATGAGTTGTGTTATGACGTACACGCCAATGCCACCGAAAATCAAAGATTGGTGTCCAGCTTGACATCTGAACAGAGAATTGTCTATAACAACATCGTGAATGCTGTTGTAACAAATTCTGGAGGTGTTTTCTTCGTCAATGGGTTTGGAGGGACAGGGAAAACATTTCTTTGGAAAGCTCTGTCCACATACATTCGTTCAATGGGAGAGATTGTCTTGAATGTTGCTTCGAGTGGAATGGCAGCACTATTACTAGATGGAGGACGCACAGCTCATTCTCGGTTTTCAATACCAATACAAGTAAATGAAATTTCAAGCTGCAATTTTACCACAAACAGCGAGCTGGCTCAATTGCTATTGAAAGCGAAGTTGATTATTTGGGATGAGGCACCAATGTTGCATAAACATTGTTTTGAGGCTGTAGATAGAAGTTTGAAAAGTGTTTTAAGAGCAGCAAAGAGTCCAAACTATAATAGGCCGTTTGGTGGGAAGGCTATTGTTTTCGGAGGTGATTTTCGTCAAGTGCTTCCTGTAATTCCTAAGGGGAACAGAGAACAGATTGTGCAAGCTTCTCTCACTTCATTTGTGCTTTGGAGATCTTGCAAAGTGCTTAGTTTAACAAAGAATATGAGGCTGACTGTCGATTCTGATCCGGCAGAGACTGAATCCATCAAAGAGTTTTCCGAATGGATTCTAAAACTAGGCGATGGAAAGTTATCTGAGCCTAATGATGGCGAAGCAGTGATTGATATACCGGATGACATGCTTCTCATGGATTCACTTGATCCAATCATGTCAATCACCAATGCCACATATCTGTCACTAAAAGAACACCTAGAGGATGAGTCTTATTTCAGAGATCGTGCAATACTATGTCCTACGAATGATGTTGTGGATGAGGTCAACAATCACATCATGGATCTACTTCCGGGAGAAGTGCAAATATATTATAGCCAAGATAAATTCTGTGAATCAGAGAAAAGCAACGCGAGAGATGGTGATGTGACAGTTGAATTCCTTAATTCAATTAAGTGTGCGGGAGTGCCTAACCATGTTCCAAAGCTAAAGAAAGGAGTTCCAGTTATGCTTCTGAGAAATATTGATCAGAAATGTGGTTTGGTGAATGGAACTAGGTTGCAGGTAACACAATTGGGAACTCATATCATTGAAGCAAAGGTCATCACAGGAAACAATGTTGGAAATAAGGTCTATCTTCCTAGAATGATGCTGACACCTACGATGTTAGATTGCCTTTCAAGTTTCAAAGGAGACAATTTCCGATTTCCCCATGCTTTGGAATGACAATTAATAAGAGTCAAGGTCAGAGCTTAGCTCACATTGGAATCTACTTACCAAGATCAGTTTTTGCACACGGTCAACTATATGTGGCTGTCTCAAGGGTTAAAAGTAGAGGAGGTTTGAAGATCCTAATCATTGATGAAGAAGGGAAGAGAGCAAAGCAAACAACGGATGTTGTGTATAAATAAATTTTTCAGAATTTCAGAGAGAATGATGCATCTTAAAGTAATAACATACGGTCA